AAACCTAGGATAGTGGCACATTTTTAAAATGTTAAATTACAACTAATTAGCATTTGGGGTGAAAGTAATTAGTCTTTTAATATGTCATAAATTGATTTTTGTTGTAAATATGCCTGACAAGATTGTTACACTGAATGACATTTTAGTGGGTCTCTTCTGTAAATCAGTGAAAAATGTATGATATTTATTTTTTGAAAAAAACAAAATTGCAATTAAATTAAACAGAAAACTTGAACATTTTTTTTGGGGGGGAGCAACAATTTAAAGCAGTATTACACTTATTTTTTTTATGCTTAAACCCTTTTTCGTCTTTGACCCAATAATGTTGTGCTTTTAAAATAAAAATGTAGAAAATGAAAACAAAATACAAAATAAAAAAATATATATAAAAAAAAATATTACTTTTTTTATGATTCAATTAATTATTTGCATTACATCAACTAGCGAACCACTTGCAGTTCCCTCGCGAACCCGTTTGGGAAACCATGATTTAGCCTATTAACTAATATTAGTTTTTAGGGATAGTTCAGTGGATAATGTCTTTTACTTTACTTTTTTATGATTACTACTTTATGGTTATTTTATGGTTTTCGGGTCCTTTTTGGAGTTTCACAGTGATCAATGATCATAAGGGCTCTTGTGAGCAGCGAAACATGCTATAATTAAAAAAAAACATGACTGTGCAGTGCAGTAATGGAAGAGCCAGTCAAAAGTGTAGTGGGAGGCATCTATATTGTGTAGGATGAGAAGACTTCTCATTTCAGGCATTTCTCTAAAGAAATTAAAGCAGGGAAGTGTCTGGTGATACACGTGTTGTTCACTATCCGTGCTTCTTTTGCTGTGGTGCGACTTTATATTTATCCTACAGTATCGTAGGCGTTTTCTCTGTTCAGACTCTGTTCAGTCTCTGTTTCTTAGCCGCTCCTGACGTCCCTCAGGCCCTTTTTACCGGTGACTCAGGGAGCCACTCTACTACTTGAGAACAGCTGTGGTGCATTATTAGTCTTATATTACAGATGGCCTCGAATCTCCCTCAAGCACTGACCTGAGACCAGCTTATCTAATAAAAGCCTTTGAACTCAAAATCCTCCCAAAATATGAAGCTAATGTAGAGTGCATAGCCATTACTTAATCGTGGTGGTGGTGCGGTGGCAGGTATGATAATAATATGATAATAATAATAATGGCCCAGCACATGGAGAGCGGACATATGTTGATGTCTTGCATCCGTGTCTGGGCTTGTTGACTTCATCCCAGCTGTTGTTCTTTGACTCGTGGAAAATCACAGAGAATGCTCACAAAGCTGGCACCAACGAGCAAACCAGCGTAGAAGCAAAACTAGAGTTTGAGTTGACATAATGATCGATAGTGGTTGTTGGCAATGAAACAAAGTTAACTAGAGTTCAGTTTTATGCAACTAAGAGACTTGATAGCTTTAGCAATGCATCCTGACTGGTAAGACTTTTGGTAGACTAACACTGCATTATTTATTTTTACATACAGTCTTTCAGCATTGTCTTCAGTAGTATTTCAGTTTGAACACTGATTATTACCTCAACATTTAGTCCTGCGGTCTCACTGGCCTGGATAAATTCCTCCCATTTGGACAGGCCTAATGAGGACGCTGTTCCTGTGAGGATCTAGGACGAGCTTATTTTACCAGCTACATCAATCTGGAATGATCCTGGTAACACACCACCAAAGAAATCGCAGTGCAGAGGTTTTTCATGGGGTGGTATCTTATTTACAGATATTTTCCCCATTTTTTTATAGCCTTTTTTATAGTTTTGGTTTTTGTATGTTCTCTCTTTTTTTCTTCTCCATTATCTTATCTAATATTTCACAATATTGCTGTTTTTACTGTATATTTGTTATAACAAACCTTTGAGCAGTGGTTGATAAAATATGCAGTTTGTCTTGGGCTAAAATTTTGCAGAAATGTAGGCTATAAAAAATATGCAAAGGTGAACTTAATGATACAGAACCTTTGTTTTTCATAGGAAACAAATATTGATCCAAGTTAGACATTCATGCAGAATGAGTTTTTGCTTTCATAACAGGGCTTTCAGGGTGCAAGATGCTAAAAAGAAAAGTCAATAGTAATAAAATTGCCTGGTAAAATTAAAATGTAATTGTCTTCTGTTCTGTAACATCCTGTGTTATAGCTTAATTGTGTAACGAGGAAGGGAGTGACACAAACAAACATACGCAATATATATTTTATATATATATTTAGCCAATGAAACAGTCAGTTTAATAATACATGACCATTTTTCAACCTGTGTTTGACCCTCTGATTGAGAATCTCCATTTTGGAAAATTTGTATTATTATTACATGACATGACCCCTTTTAAAATGGGACGTGCACCAAAAAAGGTTGAACACCCCTGTCTTAGCGAGGGATGTACAGGCGCTGTTGGACTGATTAGCAAAGTAGTATGAATTGAAGACGACGAAACCAGGGGAATGAGCACATATCCGTCTCGTTAGTGTTTTCTGACAGATACATGCCTCCTCTCTCCTGCTATTCACCATTTGTCCAGGTGTGACGGAGTCTGCATAGACTTATGTAATGGTTTATTTTGGTATTGATTTGAGCTTGGAACAGAATCTGAAATGATCGATCATGCTCCTGTATATTTGCTGTCAGTCGTTAACAAGAAAACAGAGGAAGGAATGAAGCAAAAGAAAGCACAGAGAGATGAAACAAAAGCTCAGCAAGGACAACAGTAGTTCTTGGCTCCTTTCTTTGATTGTGGTGGATAGGAAAGATATAAATAGCGGGATAGGGCATGTTTAAATTTGGCAGCCTAAGACGGTCTGAAGCAGGAGGTTGTTGGTGAGAAGATAGTTTGGATTGCACATTGGGAGGAGGCGGGCTTACAATATTATGGAGGAGTGGGAGGTCCTTGGGTAAATAGTGGGTGTGGTCATATCTTCATAACTGGCTGGAATCTTATCATTAGGCAAAGCAAGTATTTAGCACATTTCATACACTGTGGTAATTCAGATTGCTCTACAGAAAACAAATATTTTATATTAAATCATAAGAAGGATTATAAGAAGTATAAAAAATTAAAGTCAGAAGAAAAATAACCATTGGCTTGCATTCAGATCTGCCGACGTTATTTTGTGTGCTTTTGTACATATCTTTTAGCAATTTAAAAGGATTTATTTTTTATTTTGAAGGAGATATCTTATGCTAACCAATTCTTTGATGAAAAATACAGAAAAAACATTAATATTGTGAAATATTATTACAATTTTGTTTTCTGTTGTAATAAAATATAATTTATTCCTATGATGACAAAGGTGAATTTTCAGCAGCCATTACTCCAGTCTTCGGTATCACATGATCATCATTCTGATATGCTGATTTGCTCAAGAGACATTTCTTCTTATTGTTATTATTATTATTATTATTATTATAAAAACAACTGAAAACAGTTGCCGTTATAATATTGTGAAATATTAAGAACATTTTTGCAGGATTGTTTGATGAATAGAAAGTTCAAATGAACAGCACCGTTTTGAAATAGAAACCTTTTGTAAGATTAAAAGTGCTTTTACTGTCTCTTTTGATCAATTTGATGCATAAAATTATGAATAAAAGTATTAATTTATAAAAAAATAAAAATAAAAGACTTACTGACCCCCAAACCTTTGAACGGTATATATAGTGGCTAAATCTGTTTCCATCTGTGAGGATGTGTGAAATTGAGGAGGACAACAAAGAAATCAGCTGTGTGCTTCCCAGTGCCTCATGATACAATTTGCCTTTTTTACACCTCCTCTAAAGCATTTAATACTCTTCTCAACTGATGTGGTTTATCTGTGTCTCAGTCCTGGGTGTCACCAGCATAATTACAGTCATTTTCTGTATGGGTGAGATCAAAGGATCAGGACTTTGTTATAGTAGATATATTAGAGTCAAACCCAACTGCTTAAATACATACGTAAAATAAATCAAGAGGGCAGTACTAAACAAATGACAGGAGATAAACTTTAAACGTGAAATGACACACTAAAGGAAATTGCAAAAATAATGACTGTATTCAAATCGGTTTCCCAGACACTCCCCCTTTTTCCACTGGTGGAGCAAACAGGTAGTCCCCGGCTTCATTGAAAATTAGTTTGTTTGTGAAGATTTACAATTATCATTTACCTTATTTAAGGGTTTCCAAAAATTGCACCATTATCTGACTTTAAGAAGTCAGGTGATGCATTTGTGTTGATATGGTGTTAGCAGGCCTGCTCTCGCTATGCACTCATTGAATAGTCCTCAACCCCATGACAAGGAAAGTTAAGTGGTTGGGCGGAGCATTTGCAGTATGTTTGTTTTGTGCCAATCTTCTCTGTGATGGTTGGAATAAAAGAGAGACCAAATTGTTGACCATTGGTGTGAAATATGTTTAAATATGTGTAATGAACTTTACTGGAAAGGAACACTGTGGCTGTAATTTCAAAAAAGGCTGAGAAAGGAGAAAATAAATGAGATGTTAGGGATTTACCCATAATCCTTTGCACTACTCAGTCAGACTGGGATTTCTAGATGGTTACCCATAATCCTTTGCACTACTCATTCAGTCTAAGGTTATGTTTAGCATACTAATCTTAAGGTAGTATGTGAATGTGTTGTATTTCTAATACTAGTATTCATATTTGTAATATGGAAATATGTTATTTTGGATTCATCTGAAATTTGTCTGTTATCCATAGTCCATTGCATTGCTCATTTAGACTCAGATGTCCTATTTGTTACCCATAATCCTCTGCTCTACTCATTCGGTTTGGGGGGATGGGCGGCCATTTCATTAATTGTACCGTCTTATTTCCTTTGTTCTTTGTGATATTTTGAATTGACAATAACATTATAATGTTGCTTAAAGATTTTAAAGCTAATTAAAGATTTTTGCATATTGCAACAACACATTAAATTGAATAAAAATGCACACATAGTTTTTGTCTCTGTTTAAATTTATGCTTTTTTCATCTTTAGTTGGCTTTGTTGGGAATGGACCTTCTATCTGCCTTAGTGACGAGATTACAGGACCGATTTCGGGCCCAAGTTGGTACAGGTAGGAATATTAATATCTTAAATGTGTAAAAATTTCTCTGTCAGATTGTATTACCTCAAAAAATAAGGATCGTTGTGTGACAATTTATTTTCATATTATAGTTTATCTAAAGAAATTGTTAAAATTTGTTTTTTTATTACTTTTTAAGCAGCGGTGCTTAAATGAAGAGACACAACTTCCTGCAGAAAGTTTGAGTTTGCTGACAGAGTGTTATACTTGAAGTGCTGAAACTGTCAGCATACACTGAAACCCTCTGAGAAGTTGCTTCTTAAAATTCATCCCCTTTAAATGCATTGCTGCTGCAGTCATCAAATGCTGCTTTTGTTACAAATTCACTGCATTCATCAATGAATTTCAAGGCAATCACTGTCACTCTTCAGATTGTCTGCTGTGAGAAATATGCCCGTTATTCTCATAGGTCTCATTATTTGAAGTTTCCAACTAGTTGACTGAAAATAACTTTGCACATCCCTAATATCTAATCTTTGTTCTGTCCATCGCCAGTTTTACCGAGCTTGATAGATCGGTTAGGCGATGCCAAAGATCAAGTCAGAGACCATGATCAAACCCTTCTGCTGAAGATCATGGAGCAGGCAGCTACTCCTCAGGTAGTATTTGTTTTTATTTAGCCTAAATATTAATTCCAGGATGGTCAGTTCATTCTAAAGCTAACTCTGCTGTCCTGTTGTGTGAACACAGTGCATTATACGTCTCTGTATTTTGTCTTTGTATTAAAATATCATGACAGCCTAAACAATATTTATAATGTAAGGTCTGAACAACCTGCTCCATTCAGAAATAATACCCTTGCGAGATGCCTTTGTGGCATTTTAAATGGGATTTCATTTAGTTAATGAATTGAACTCTACGCTCCATGAAAAGGCTGATGGGAGGTCTCATAATGAGATTAGCTGCCATTTAATTGTATTAGATTGAAAGTATTACATTTGGATTGTCTTCACAGTACATGTGGGACCGAATGTTGGGGGGGTTCAAACACAAAAACAACCGGACCAGAGAGGGAGTGTGTCTCTGTCTCATCTCAACTCTAAACAAGTAAGTCTCATTGTCCTCTCAGTCAGGATATTGTAGCTTTCATTCAACAGAAATACAACTTACATTGACTTTTATGTTTAAAGGGGTCATATGATGCGATTTCAAGTTTTCCTTTCTCTTTGGAGTGTTACAAGCTGTTCGGGAATAGATAAGATCCCTAAAGTTGCAAAGACTAAAGTCTCAAACCCAAAGAGATATTCTTTATAAAAGTTAAGACTCGTCCACGCCCTCCTAAAACGCCTCGTTTAGACACGCCCCCACATGTCTACGTCACGATGTGGAAAGATTTGCATAACGCCGCCCAAATGTTCACGCAAAGAAAGAAGGCGTAACTTTATTGTTGCTGCCGCCGCCGCCACTATGTTGTGAAGACGCTGTGTGTTTCGTTGCGAAATCGAAAATACTTTGTTTGGCCTTCCAAAAGAGGACACGACTAGAAATCAGTGGTTAAGTTGTATTTACAACCCAAATATTCAGATGTGTCCAGCGCATTTTATGGAGGACTGTTTCCTGATCCTGGGAGAGTAGACTACAATGCCGGCTGTTCTGAGTCACAGACTGTAAGTACATTTTCATATTTAAAGAATTTGTCACTGACGACTCAAACGCGAGTTTCGGTTCTCCGATCACAAATGCAGACATGGTTTTATGTTTACGCAGCGCGATGCAACGCAACGCGTAAAAAGACAGTATAAGCAGGGGTGCACATAAGTGGTCCGCAGGTCCTCATGCGCGACCAAAATAAGAAATGCGCGGTGTAAATTAGTTCAGAGCGCACCCGCCAAAATAAAAGCTTGCTGATTTTAAGTTTGAAAATGAAAAATTCAAATAATTAAAATTAAAAATAACAATTAAGGTTCAAATTAAAATAATAATAATCAAAATATTAGCATTTTATTTTTAAGTTCACTATAAAATAATTGTATTTGTATTTAATACTCCCTTTTTATTTTAAAATTAAATAGTATTATCACACTTTATTATTTAGTTTATTATTTTATTTAAAAAAAATTAAGTGCAATAATATTATCACTAATTATTAATTAATTTTTTATAGTTATATTTGATGGGTCACACCATGTGCCGTGTGAGGACCAAACCAAATCTCCAGGTTCTCATATGAGAACCAGGCTGAAAAACGTAGCGATGCAATGCAACGTGTAAAAAGACAGTATAAGTCATTATAATCCGTAATTATGTCCCCACTGGATGCAACAAATGCCTCGTTTATAATGGGTTTTAATGTTTTGTCTCATCGCGCCGGGAGACAGCATCACAGTATGATAAGGGGCGTAACATTTCCGTCACACGCTTGAGGTATTCGGCCAATCACAACGCACTGGATAGCTGGCCAACCAGCGTACACCTCGCTTTTCAGAATGATGAGCTTTGTAAAAATCGATGCGTTTCAGAAAGGCGGGGCATAGAGGAGAAACAATAATGTACATACAGTATGTGGAAAATAATGTGTTTTTTTAACCTTAAACCGCATAAACACATTTCATTACACCAAATACACAAAATAATGTTCTTTTTAGCAACATCATATGGCCCCTTTAAAATTTCCACTTGTAGTTGAATTTCTATGCTGAATAGAGATATTAAGTTATTCAATGAAAGTGAAGCAGCACATTCTTCTAGGATAACCCATTAAAGCTGAACTTGGCTGAACCCAAAGCTGAACCCTGTCGCTATCGCTTCTGTTTTTCAGATACGGTGCCCAAGGCTTAACCCTGAGCAAAATTGTACCACATATATGTAATCTACTCGGAGACCCCACAAGTCAGGTATGTGCATTTGTCTTGATCTAAGACATTCAAGATTAAACTCTGATCTGCATGACATGGCTTTTTTACAGAACAAAGGATGAAGGTAGCAACATTACACAAAGCTATAGTGACCTCTGGTGGTGGTTTTGGATGTGGAGTTGGTGAAAATATAACAAGTATACATTTGGTTTTATTAAGTGAATATAGATTTTACAATATTAATGAATACTGTTAACAGATGCAGTGGAAAGCATTTCAAATAGCAGAATAAACATTAAAAAAGCAATGTAATTGCTTTGCATTTAAGACTCTTCCATCAAAGTTGTTTGCATTTGTTTGTCTTCCTAAAACATTTACATATTATTCTTATCACTGATAATATATATTAATATAAGCTTATATATAATAATATGTAAGCTTCCACTTTTACGAGTGCACAGTTTAGAGACTTGTTTTAAAATATGTGAATTTAGTGAAAATATGAAATTGTCCAATTATCTGCCCAGGTTCGGGATGCGGCCATGATCTGCCTTGTGGAAATATACAGACATGTTGGAGAGAAGGTTAGGATTGACCTTAGTAAAAAAGGACTGCCGCAATCGAGGTAAGCTCTTCCTTTTTTATGAACTCTCTGCCAATTCACAGACAATGCATCAGTATTACATCTACAATATTAGTTAGTCTTCAGGTCACTCCCAGGCTCTTTTCTAATTCAGATGGATTTCTGTTTAATTTTGTACTCATGTTTTTGTTTTGAAGGTTTTTCCCCTCTAGATATACACTGCATCTGTTCATTTACTTCTATCAGGCATTGATAAATTTAGTCAGATATTTTTCCCCACTAGTAAGTGTTTCTAAACAGAGTGAAAACATTCATGAACCAGTCTCTATTAGTGCTGTAATGATTCTTATTCACTTAAGGGGCTAAAGTGGATATTCATACAGGTCATTAGGTCTTAATTTCCCTGTTGACCCAGAATCAGGCTCTGCCCTCTAACTTGAGACTAATATGCTTTTAGCGGCTAAAATTATGTGCTTACAGCACGCCACCTATGTTATTCAGATTAAACCTCCTGAATTTGTGATTTAGCATTTAGAAAAGTATGGCATTCATAGTGCCGCTCTCAGATGTTTTGCTCTATGGGCTTGAGCCTGCAAAAGAAAGTGTCCAGCCATGATACTGCACAGCAAGAGATGACTGAAGTGCATGGAGAGGAGGAAGGCATGCCAGCATTTGCTTGTGGTCTGAATTTGGTTGTGACATCTGTTAGATGTCCCTCCCACTTCAAATCTGTGCATGTCTCCAGGGACCATGCAGGCATCTGTTTCTCTGATCTTCTCAGTGGTTATAGTTTTAAGACTTTTGAGGGCAGGCTCAATTGGAACATGCCTTGGGAAAACAGTTTGCTGTGACTTCGGACGCAACGTCAAACTGGCAACTCGTTTGTGAGCATCGAGGCTCAAGTATGTGCACTGCAGCTCCAGTATTTTTGAGTTAATTCACCAGATCTTATTAATACAATCATTTGGGTCATACAAAAATATTTTAAGCTAAATGCTAATTCATTTCCATTTCCGAGAGCTGCACTCATTATATTTGATTTATTAGATTAATATCATTTCCGTGCTGCCTTCTCAGTTGGCTTCATGCGCATCTGTGCCCAAATTCTTTGGGACTAGACCCAATCCTGTTACTAAAAATGATAACCACACCATTAAAATGGCCCTTGGAGGGATCTATGAAAGAATCAAACTCTCATTGCTTTCTCACTAAAGTCCACATTTAGTATAAATCAAGCATGCACAACAAAGTTTTAATTTTCCAAATGTTCAATATCCATTTTGAGTCTTAAGCGCACTGAGAGCTTTTCAGCGCTGCTGTTTTTCACAGACTGCCATGGATGTATCTGCAAAATTCAAATCTTCTCAGCTTACTTTAGAGGCACGCAGTCAGTCTGCATGGATGAAGTGAATAGAGGAAGAAATCTCTTTTTGAACAATATAGTGCATAAGGGTTTAGCAAGCAGCATTTCCCTTCTTTCAAACTGCAGAAAAGGCAGCCCGTCTCATTTGCAATTCAAAATTCTGTTGTGAGACACTTTGTAAAGCAGAAATGATGGACTTGTAGGATTAACATTTGCATTTGTCAGTGGTTGTCAGCAGGGATGCCCTTATTTAAAATGAAATCCTACCAGCATGATTGTTGGAAACAACATCCTCTTAAACATTAATATTACAAGGCTTTACTTACTTGTCCTAGTTAGAATTTAATGACTTTGGCAGTAAGAGCTTTGAACATTAACATCATCACACTATTCACAATGTTGCTTTTTTTAATCAATATCATAAATGCATGTTTTGAGTATTCAAATTATCACTCAGCCCTATTTTATAACCTAAAATGATTCTTTGCCACACTGTAAGGCAGAGAAATGTGGCAGCCCATCCAGATTCAGCATGGAATCTGAATCCCCTCACAGGGAGCTGAGAACATGACGATGAATCTGCTTTGATGCGCAGGGCTCTGGGGATCTGCCTCTGACTCGTACAGACAATCGTCTGAGAGGGATGTAAAGGATGAAGGATTCTCAGAGGGTTTTACAGGACGAAAACATCCGCAGCTTTGTGAATACGCAGTGGGAGGAGTTTTAGAGAGCAGTGCTACATGTTTCAGTTTCACAGGGTTTTCTCTCATTTGAGGATGCTTAAATGTTTCCCGAATTGTTGCTTCATTAGAGGCCATACTATAATTAAATCATTATTTTATTCCTTTGATCCACTTACAATGTTTCTTTCATTGAATAATAATATTGTTGTACTCAACTATCTCTTTGACCTTTAAAGTGCCCCTATTATGCCATTTATACGGTTCCTAATATTGTTTTGGGAGTCTCCTACAATAGGATTACATGCATGCAAAGTCAAAAAACGCTTTCGTTTTCTCAAAATATGCATTTAATATCACCTCATTTTCCAGCGATTCTCAAACGATTCGTTCGAAGCAGTTCAAAGATTCAGTCTCTCTAAACCCCTCCTTTCCGTGAGACTGCTCTGCTCTGATTGGTCAGATGGCCTAGTCTGTTGTGATTGGTCTACCACGTACAGCGCGTGTCGGAAACAATACGCCCATTGCCATAGTTCTGTATTTTGAATGCTCTATAGAAAATATAAACATCTATTATTTATCATACTTACAGGTTGTGATTCAGTGGAGCAGCTGGTCCAAATAAACAGGATACTGATCCATATTTCAACAGCAAGCGTTTTGTGAATCCCGTGTTGAACTCTCAGAGATTAGAGAAGCAGTCGTCAGTAGAATGACGTGTTTGTGGGCGGGGTCAAGTTGTTCGCGGCCGGCCAACGTAGAACATAGGCACACATTATGCAAATGTGTTACCCTGTGATGTGTAGCCGTCACGGAAGTGGGATTCGAATTACTAACGACTCGTTTCAGCTGTTCAGAGTCAATTCTTTATTTTGGGAGACAATAACTTTATTTATCGTGCACTTTCAGCTTTACAACTTTGCAGATCATTTACATTCACATACAGCTACATTACACACTGCATGAAAGGCAATACTGGAAATGGCATAATAGGGGGCACTTTAAACAAGATGCTTTTTTTTTGCTACTATGCCTTTAAGACCTGAAAATGACCTCTGTTATGATTGGCTAACCTCTTCGCACATACAGTATATTGCACTAACTTCTGGACTTGCAGGTTTGCTTTGGAGTCAAATATAGTTGGTGCAAAGCTTGCATTACACTGACAGGATCACAAAACCATCCATGCTGAAATGTGACACATCAACTGTTACATCACAACCAGTCTCGCTCAGCCAGACTTATGGCTAACGGCAAAAAGTCTGGTCCTCATTGTAGCTTGTTCTGGCCTTGAACCGCACATTTAGACCGCCTAACCGACATGTTAAGCAACCAAGTACTTTACTGTCTGTTGTGTCCATAGTTTATGAGTTAGGTCACCATGTCATTATGTCCATAGCTAATAATCTGTAATAAGCGTTTGTTAAATAGTAGTGCAGTCAGTGTAGTCAGGTGGTATCTCAGAACAAAGGGAGTGACCGAATGAAAGGTATTTCCATTTCATAGACATTTACCCTGCTTGGTGAGAGCATTTTTTGTCAGATTTGCAGCACCTGTTTCTGAGGATTGTTTTGTGAGCACCGAGAGTCACAATTCCAGGAGTTACTTTTCTAAAGGTCTAGTTATTTTTTTCTGTAACTGAGCAATCTTTAACTTTAAAAAATGTCTTGCTTTTTTTTTTTACAGGTTGAATGTAATTTTCAGCAGATTTGATGAAGTCCAAAGATCTGGGAACATGATCCTCTCCTCAGGTTCAGGTAGGATTTATATATTTAGAAATTCCAAGAATTCAAATGTCTAAACAGGCTTTTAAACATCATAGCTTGGGTGTTAACCCTGGCTGTGTTCCAAAACTTACTGCCTACATCATCCTACCCTCATAAGTGACCCATTTGTAACAGTCTACATAGACACCATGTTGTGGATTTTTTAAAATTAGATTGAACTGCTATTTTAATCTATACTTTTGGAGATTGATGAATTATATTTAAACATTTCTCTTGCATCATCCACCATCTTGGATGGATTTTATTCACTGAGCTTATCACGGTGCATTATGGGATTGCCTGTTTTGTGAAGGATACATGTGATGCTACTTTAGTCCAAACTAAGATATCTAACTACATTCATGTCAGAAGCATGTCTGTAATGATATAAAATGTCATCTACGTAGGCAGCTCTCTAGGTTTTTAAACCGTTTTCTCTTTGAAATTCATGATGATGTCTTAGGGCAGGGATTTCTTTTTTTTTTTGTCGGATGAACCCTTTAGTTAGTTGAATCACAACATTTGCAGATCTATAAGTAATAGAGGCTATGAAACTTGTTTATTTGAAATCCAGAATTAGGGAGGTCTGAGTCCCCCCCTCCTCCACCTCCTCCTCCTGTTCCCCCCTGCGGCCCTGTGCACATCATATTGCAGGATTTGGACTCATTTTGCATTTCAGTGGGTGGTTGAAAGCAGCATCTGTAGCATAAGGATTTTTTGTCTGTTTATTTGGGTGATCGCCTCTTCGACTCTTAGTTTTCTTTGTAAATCTGGTTGAACTGTCAGTGAAATCAAGCAGAGGTAATGTATTGAGATAAAACATGAATCTGTCATCATTTTTAGGGTGAGGGTTAGCTTTAGAATTACACCTGAAAGAGAGGAAAATAGAGCAAGCGTGGAAGAAAGAGAACGACACTCTTCATGTTTTATGCTGCAGTGCTTTCACTTTGTGTGTTTGTCTGACTTTAGATTCAAAGGGACTTACTTTGTCTTCTTTTTCTGAATTTTGATTTATTTAATGGAATAATGTCATGCTGATTTTGAAATTGAAAAGCTTTGATGTGATCCTTGGTTCGCACTGCTCCATATAAAGTAATTTGTCATGAATCTTGTTGCCGTATTGGAACTGTGAGAGTTTTACAAATGATAACCAATGGTCTGAGTGTGCTTTTGGCAGACACTGATTTTGATACACTGTGATGAGAAGCCTTAATCTGAAATTTCCAACTAATCCCGGAAGATTTTTTTGGAGGTATTTTGGTGGATCTTTTTCCTTTTTCCTACCTCATACTGGAGCTATGGAGTTGTGATTTTACATATAGTAGTTACAATATATTTTGTTGGCAATTTAGTCTAGAAGTTAGAGTTGGTCAATTATATATAAATGCCTCTGTCATCTTCTTGTAGATGCAGCACTTGCAGCACAGCTTCTTTTTTAATAAGTGCTGTCTCTGCACAAATATTAATAGCATTATATAAAAGGAAATGTCTTTCATTTGCACTGGTAATATTTTGTGTAAATCTGTTGTGTGAGGACCACAGTATCCGGAGTCTCTTTCCTGTGTCAAGATTTTAGTTGGTATAAGGAAGATGTTCCAAGTTCTGTGAACATAAACTCAGAAAAGATTTAGGGACAGAAAAGTAAATGACAAGCAAATGGCCCCAGATCAACTGTTTGTATCACATTCAGTCTTTACAGGGGAAATGCTTTCTACGTCCTTTATTTAAAAGAGTTGGGTGGCTTTTGTCTTTGGTGATGTCACAAGGAAGGGAAAGGGAGGGAGAGGCGGAGACCCAAGAGAGAGACTGTAAAAAAAGCTGGAGCTTTGTTGTATTTGCAGTCTCTGTGTGAATTGAAGAGACACTTGCTCTATGACAACCGGAGAAGGTAAGAATTGGAATGGAAAGGCGGCTTTAATGTCAGGGATGAATAAAAGCAGTGCTGGGCACTAGCAGCCTTAAACCTCCAGCTGCTGTTCTGCCAAGGGGACAGCATGTTTTTTTCTGTGTTTTCGTGTTTACAGATGATAACGCTTCTGAGATTTAAATATTCGTGTTTTTGCTTCGCCCATTTTTACGGTCTCTTTAGCTGGAAAAATTTCAAAGCATTTTGACATGGAAAGGCAGTGTATCAGTTTATAGATGTTGTCGTTTTGAAAAAAATAAAACATCTAATCGCTCAGATTGTCATGAATTCATGTGTATAAACTAGATTTGTATCGAACACTCAAGATATCTCGCACCTGAATTGCGACTGCGTTTCTGCAGTCTGTTACAATTTGTCATGTTCTTGCAATGCATTCAGTAAATATAACTGCATTATGGATGTGAATTTGCTTATTTTGCTCATCTAAAGCGTTTTTGGAGTGACTTTGTGCTATTTTGTATTTTTTAACATTAGCATATGGATCCAATGCATGTCTATGATTGTTGCACCATTCCTCGCTGTTTTTTTTAATCATCTCACAGCATGAGCATTGCAATTTTAAACCTACAACATTAGCCTAAAACACAAAAATTTTGTGGTGGTTAAAAATATTTTTCTTTGCCTTTGTGACGCTAGCCAAAAATAAAGCCATTGCAGATTAAGTTATTACATTGTTAATGATGACAATTTTATTTTTGTCTTTGGAATAAGACCAGGAATCTGTATAACTGCTTTCATGTTTACTTTAAATAAAATGAATCCACCAATAACACTTCCTTGGCTTGCTTTAATACCAATTGACAGCATGTTTCCTTTCCATTCTGAATACTTAGTGATACAACAGAACTAGGACTCGTGTTCTGTTTGGAGCATAAACCTTCATTCACCTTCAGCAAAGTACTCTGCTCTGACCGTTTGTTGTCACCTTTGCACAATATGCACACACTGTCAACATAATACAGGTTATGAGTCACGTGCGTTAGTGTAGAAGTGCGGTCTAGGAAACCCTGTGTTTATCTCAGGACACACTGCAGGGGGTGTTCAGAAAGGTAGAGGTGATCGAGGGATGGATATTTTACACTACCAGTCCATCTTTTTTATATACAGTACACACTTGATATTGGATCCGGCAGCACAGTTTGAGAATGGAATTAATGGATCGGGGCGTTTGTGTGTGTGTGTGTGTGTGAGTTCATGTCCTACAGTACTGTTATGTAAACATGTCGCTTGGGTTCTAAGCTTTTTTGTGCTGACATGTTCAAAGTCACTCTGACATGTTATGCTGTGTCATCGTCTCAGTCCAGTCAGCAGCTAAAGAAAGTTGTCGCTTGACACAGTGGCAGGTACTGTGGCTATGAAGGTAAGCACTGATTTTTGACTGGTGTTTTCACAGGTCTGTAAGCATCCCATGTTCCTGTGGTAAACAAATGACATTGTTTCTGGATTAAAACATAGTTTGTCTTCAGTCGCATTTGAAAAATCTGATTTAGGAGCCGGGGAAGCACTTTGTTCAAAGTTGGCAGGTCATGCAGAAAAGATTATATCCTCCTTCCCCTCCCGAGCTGAAATGACACATCTCTCAAACTCAAAACTTCAGTGGCAAGGAGATTAAGGCCCGTTCCAGGGGTTTGTCCTCTTGAAAGGGGACATTACTCACTTCTGAGAGCAGCAGGAGTAAATAAATATCACCATCTCCACACGGCCCTTCCGAATAAATCCATATTTTGTGGTCAGTTTTAGCTCTGTGAAGAATTATTATTGAAAGAGGCTGATTTACTCCGTTCCATTGGAAAATTTAGAAATATGTAAATCGTACGGATGTATGGTGTTTCCTACAAATTGTGCTGTTATAGTAGATGGTGACTGGATAGATATAGTCCACCAAAAAATTTTATATCTGTTGTTTGCTCACCCTGATGTTGTTATAAACCTGTATGACATACTTTAAAGGGATAGCTCACCCAAAATGAAAATTCTGTCATTAATTACTCACCCTCATGTCGTTCTAAACCATGAGAAGAAATTGTTGAATAAAGTCGTTATTTTTGTTTTCTTTGCGCACAAAATGTATTCTTGTAGTTTCACAACATTAAGGTTGAAACACTGATGTCACATGGAATATTTTAACGATGTCCTTACTACCTTTCTGGGCCTTGAATGTGGTAGTTGCTTTGCTGTCTATGGAGGGTCAGAAAGCTCTCAGATTTCATCAAAAATATCTTAATTTGTGTTCCGACGATGAACGAAGGTTTTACAGGTTTGGAACAACATGAGGGTGGGTAATTAATGACAGAATTTTCATTTTTGGGTGAACTAACCCTTTAATTTATCCTAGAGGTTTAGCAGAACGCTAAGCGAACTAAATGTTTGCATATGTCACTAGAGAGAAGTTTGATGCTTCACTGGAAGTTCAGATTATGACATTTTGATTAAACATTACAAGCTCAATTTTTTTTAATTGAAAATACAACACATGCTTGGATTAATCTTTCACAGTAAGATCAATAGAATCTTTGGGTAAAGAAAAAGGTGAATTTCAATTTTATGCAGCAAGTGTGTGTGCGTGTGTACAGGTTTATATATCCTGGTGGGGACTTAAACCTGAATACACACAGACTTATGGGGACTCGTGTCACGGTGGGGACCTAAATTGAGGTCCCCATGGGTACAAAAGCTTATAAATCATACAGAATGACCACATTTTGCTACAAGTTTGATTGCATCATATAATAATTGCTGTTAATAATGTTCATCGTCTGTTTGATTACGTCTTTAATTGATTTTTCCGTACATTTCTGCCATATGTACATTGACAGTCAACACTGATAAGCTACCACTAAATATTGTAGAAACTTAATTTGCTGTAAAGTTGCTTTGCAACGATTTGTATCATGAAAAGCGCTATACAAATAAACTTGAACTGAATTGAATTGAATGAGTTTTTAATTTTTTTTATTTTTGAGAAAGTAAAAATGCTGAAAGTTTCCTGTGAGGGGTAGGTTTAGGTGTAGGGTGATAGAAAATATGGTTTGTACAGTATAAAAACCATTACGCCGGTGGAGAG